GAACAGAAGATTCAAGAGACTCTCCCTGCAACAGTCCCTCCTCTTCCCAGCACACTCAGAGCACCTGTGCCAGACTGGTGCTTTACCAGCAAATGGCCAGTGTGTTTTTCAGCACGTGGGAGCATCACATCTATATACTAAGTGAGCAGAGAGAGAGAAGAGGGCGAAAGGAATGCCAAAGAACACTCCACCAGAATGAGAAAGGCAGTAAAAGTAATTTCAAGACAAGAAAAGAGGCAGTGGATAATGGAGAAATATAGATGCTAAGGTAGCAATTGCTAAATAGATTTGGAGGAGGCCAAAGAGCAGTGAAACAACAGGCCACTCTGCAATGTTTTAAGAAGTCTGGGAAGATATCTGGTGAAGACTCTCCATACACCTCTGGCAGAGCCTCTTCCTCTAAAGCAAACCAAAATTTCCTTCAGTGCCCCACTCTGACCCAGCGAATCTTGGTGTGAAGAAACCCTGTGTCTGCACTACCACCCTCTGAGACAGAGGAAACTCCCTCCGGTTTCTGTTGCCCAGTGGCAGGAACACAAATCATACAGGAAATAACTGTACATGAGACATTTCACCAGCAGAAACCCTGTGGTATAGGGGTAGCCCCTCTCCTCCACTCCCTGTCTCTCTGCCAGCCACTCAAACTGCCCTAATTTGGCAACAGCTCCAGCTCATTCACGCTCCGAAAAGCTGGAAGACAGCAAAGGAGATCTATTCTGCTCAGGAAGCCACTCACTCCTCCCACTCCCAGCTGCTACAAAGGCTGCCTGGAGCAGCATCCTTGCCGGTTGCAGCCGGAGCCTGCTGACTTCACTGCACACCAACTTTCAACACAAGGTTTTCTTTTAGGCTTGACAAGTACCACCACACACACACACGTTTTCCAGCACCCATATAACAGACTTTCCATCTCTACTGCAGCCAACTCACATTATCTTCCCACTCAGATCCCAGGAGAGGACACACTACCATCATTTTTATGGTTATTCTGCTCTGACGTTGCTGGTACACAACAGACATGCAGCCCTGTACCACCACACACGAACCCTCATCACAGCAAAAACAGCTCTCAGCAACGTCATTTTTGCCCAGTGGTCACTTTAGGAGCCACACAGGCAGATATGCTGGACTTTGCCACCACCTAGCTGAGGACCTTGGATAAGCTCCTGCTTCCAGGTCTTAGAGGAATGACAATGCTGGTATTTATTGACCTTTGTAAAGTACTTCATTAGGTGAAACGGCAAAAAGATGCATCAGTAGTACTCCCAGAGTTCAGCTCCAGTCTGGGTTTTACAAATGGAGATAAGGGATATCCTGCACACAAATCCACCAAATACTAAATTTCCTTAGGTACCTGCTAACATTAGGTTAGATGTCTGGCACATCCAGACAGAAACAAGTCTGCAACTTCTGCAGTGCCAGTCAGTTCCTTCTTTTCCAAATGCTTGTCAGCCCTTGCAAGGACAGCTGAAGTACACCAGTAAGTCTTGGATTACTAGCATCTTTGGCTTCTCCTGGCAAGCTGCCAGTCATCAGGGTACCAAGGCACTAACTGCAGTGTAACACTTCCATTCCAGGACCACACTGAGACAAGACTCTTAACTGGAACAAGTTCTGAACGACCAACAGCTGGGTCTATTTCCAATCCCACTGGACTAGCAGACCTGGCTCACTTCCGAAGAGGTTAGACAGTTGTTCTGGTACTCACCATGACTATATTGGCCAAGTGAGCTGAGACAAGAGCATACACTCCTCCAGAGGAGCCCACCACAGGCGCAGTCATATCAGCTACTGACACTGCCAGGGACCCTGGGAGAAAGAACAAGGGTTTGTGACAATTGCTAGCCAAATAAACACTCTCTCTCCTCCCCTACATCCCTGCTACTGCGTGTTTTGTGCTAATTGCTGCAGGTCAGTAATACACAAAGAGAAGGGGGTGGAGGAATCAACGGACTTGCGAAGCTAACTCAGTCCTGTAGTACTTCCAAGACAGTGATTGATTCTTTTGCTCCAACCTGAAAATCAGCTAAGCAAGACAGCAAGTATCTTCAAACCTATGCTGCAAAAAGGCACTTACACCCTGATTAAAATAACAAGGAAGCAGGAGACAGAAAAAGTCTGTGCCTTGTTCCTCACCTGAAGATAAAATAGAAATAGCTCCCATGCTGGCAAGACAAATTTTGCACAGTGAGAAGCCTGTTACTTATAAAACTTCAGAGTAAAACTAGCCAAAAATAACCTGGATGGAGGCAGTAAACACAAGATACCAAAACAGCAGGTCAGTCACAGAAAGGCACCACTAATAACCACACATCCAAACATAGACACTGCTGCTCCTTATCGCAACTGGAGGCTTGGATCTGCTCAAAGCTCCATTGCAAACTTTAAGAGTAATTTAAGAAAGAGAGAGAGAGACAAAGGCAGGCTTGGTGTCACAAGGCAGGGATAATGACGATCTTTGTGATGAGGGGGAATGAGAAAAACTCACAATGGCAAATCTTCAGAGTTCTGGTAGCACAGAATCTAACAAACTACTTTGCTAGTTGCTCAGCTGATTCTGGGTCAAGAAAGTGCTGAGGTTCCACCAGCCACTCTGCTGATAGCTCCTCCTTCACTGCATGGCTCTGAGGCTTCTCAGCTCTTAAATACCGCTATTAAGGAAAAAGTTAATGAGAAGTTAAGAAAGGAGTAATAAGAACTTGCAGTTAAGTCCTCAGACACTGCACTGAGTCTCTCAATCTCAGCCTCAATGTGCCTTCATAGTAAAGTCAGACAAACGAGAAAAAAACATAAAAGTAGGGAGTGGCCATTTTGGCCTGTGTCTACATTTTACTGTTTATTCCTGATTGTTTAGGAGCTGTGTTATCTTTATATTGCCAGATCCTCAGCATAAGTATGCCTCTTCCTCTCTCTCCTAGAATAAAGAATATCAAAGAATAAAGTGTGTTTAATAATTGGCTAACAACTCAAACAGGTAAGGGTAACATGGGATGCTTTTCCATGTGGGATCATCCAGACACATTTGTAGTTCCATCCTGCACTAAGAAGGGAAGTTTTCCCTTTCCATTTGACATTTTCTTCCACAATTTATAGGCCATAAGGTGTGAAAGGCAAGTCTAGAAGGATGTGGCAGCTCGCCTGAGAGAAAAAAGTGGCATCATTTGAGTAGCAGAAATGAACCAACAATGCTAGGTGGGCTAGTAAGCCTCACTCAGGTACTGACTACAAGCCTCCAGAGCTCTGGCCATTCAGCCCAGCCCAATGCTCAAGAAAAACTTGCTTCTGGCCCTGCAGACCCCTGCCAGCAAGTCCATGGCCACAGGAATGTGAGAAGCAGCTGGCAACTCGCAGTGCTCGCCTGGGCTCAACCGTAGGAGATTCAATGCTCACTTGCTTCGCTTACCTGGTACAGACGTGCGATGTGTATTCACACATATATAAATGAAGCCCCAGGATTTGGTAGACAGATCTCTGTAGAAAAGCTTATGTCTGGAAAGTTGCAGACTGGGGACCGCTTTAGTGCTTATTAAAATAACAGGCAAGGGACAGTGGAGCTGGTCTGCTAACTCCTTTCTCTGCATTTCATAGAATGGTGTTTGTACCATGCCTAGTCTTGTGTCCTAGTCCAATTATTTTTTCTGCAGTCTCTCTGCTGGAATGTAGGATTTATTAGTTCCCAGTGCAGCCCATTTTACAAAGGCTTTATCTGCTCATTACGGGAAAAAAAAATATTAGGTACCTGGGAAAAAAAAAATCATAAATCTTGAACTAAGGCAGTCAACAGTTGTCTGAGTTCCACTGTGAAGCCCTTGGTTATTCTCACACTCTCCCCATTTTAATTAGATGTTGATCTATTGTCAGCTAACTTCCATCACCTCCAAAGTGCTGGAAATGCCAAGTATAAATAAAAGTAATATAGCACAAACTAAAAATCAATCAAACCCCATGGCTTCATGATTAAATGAATTTCCAGATTCCCGTGCACTGCTCACGACCTACAACCAAATACTTGTTGCTTACTGAGGCTGTAGAAAGCAGATAGCACAGGACAAATGGAGGAAGAACGGGCACAGGACCTAGAACATACAAAAAATGACTCTTTATGCAGGGATGCCTGTGATGCCACCTTTCTTCTAGGCCTCTATGAGACACAAGAGGAAAGGGACAGCATGACCTCCACATTCAGCAAGACTATCTAAAGCAAGGCTATTTTGAAGTAACAGGTTGTTGGTGCTTTTTTGGCAGGTTTCCTAAACACAGAGCCTATGGCTAGTTAGAAACAGATGGGTCAAGTTCTAGCGTATTTCCCACTTCCAGCCTCCAAAAGAATTTCAACGCAAGCAAGATCAGTGATTGCTCTTTTCCTACATCCAAATGTCACAAAACATTTCTCCTACACAAAAGTCAACACAGACCATTTTCAGATGCTTCTCCATTTGGGGCGTCCAGAGGTATCACCTACCTGCCACAACTCCAGCAACGTATACAAAACTGATCCTCGCAGCTCCATGCACCATTTCCAGGGGAACCCCAACCAAGAGCTGAAGGACAACATTGAGTCCAAGGTGTTCTATCCTGCGGCAAGGAAAAACAACAGTTGTCCTCTTTTCTAACTCTTCATCTCCTTTC